CCGAAAACGATGACGCCGACGACGACGATGCCAATGACGACGACGATGCCGACACTGACGACGACAACGACGACCACATTGCCGACGCCGACGCGGACTACGACGACGCTGGCGTCGACGACGCCGACGCGACGACGACGACGCCGACGACGCCGACTGCAACGACAACGACGGCGACAACGTTGTCGACGACGACGACGTGGACAATGACGACAACGACGACGCCGACGCCGACGCCGACTTCGACGACGACACGGCGCCCGACAAGGACGACGACGACGTGCGACGCACGACGACGGCCACGACGCCAGCGCTGACGCCGATGCCGACGGTGACGACGACGCTTGGCGACGACAACGGCGCCGACGCCGATGCCGACGACGACGACGCTGGGCGACGACGACAACGACATTGACGACGACGCTGACGTCGGCGACGGCCTCGGCGACGACGACGACGACGACGGCGATGCACACGACGACGACGACGTCGCTGCCCACGACGACGATGCCGAGGACGACGACAACGACGACGACGACGACGCCCACGATGCCGACGATGATGACGCCGACGAAGACGACGACGACACCGACGACGACGCCGAACACGACGATGAAGACGACTTCGGCGATGGCGATGACGACGAATCCGACGCCGACGCCGACGTCGCCGACGCTTGGCGACGACGACGGTGGCCACGGCAACGGAGACGACGACTCCGACGACGACGGCGCCGATGACGACGACGCACGACTTTCCGACGCACGACGCACGATGCACCCCGACGACGACGACAATGACGACGACGCCGAGGCCGGTGCCGTGGCCGAGGCCGACACCGACGACAACGACGCCGACGACGGCGACACCGTTAACGACGTTGACGACGCTGACGATGGCGACGGCGCCGACGCCGACGACGACGATGCCGACGCGACGACGACGTCGTCGGCGCCGACGACGAGGACGCAGACGACGACGTGATGCCGCCGACGACGACGCAGCGGACGAAAACGACGGCTGGCGCGGCGAGCGCAGAAATCGAGGGAGAGATGAATCGACGCCGCGCTAACGTTCATCTGCGCGGCCGGGGCCAAGGCCCCGCCGCGCCTCCCGCGCAGGGGCGGCCTCCGGGCCGACGGGCGCGCGCGAGCGCGCGCGCGTGTGCCGGCGGGAATTCCGCGAGGCATGCCAAGATGGCCAGGTTGCGTGCGTTCGCAAGGTAGACTCGCGCATTCGGAACAGTTATCCCGCGCAGAACGCGCGGCGCCTTCTCGGATTTCGTCGGGCAGGAAAGGTTCGCCATCGATTGGAATCCCAGGGGGCCTTGTTCAGTTTGGGGGGCATTGCTGGCCGCGTTGCTACGATGGCGAACGGAGCGTTGCGCGGCCGTTTCACGCGCGGGAGTTTCGCCAATGCTGGGCGAGGGCGATTCGCCGTCCTGGTGCGGAGCTTGCGGGGGCCACTGGCCAAGCGCGTTCGCGCGGCTGGCCTCGGGCTGGTTGGTCAGTGAAGAGGGGTTCCGTTGGCAGGCGCGCGCAGCGCAGCCGGCGAGGCCATCTTCTCCGCTTGACTTGAACTCTAACAGCAAGCGTCCAGCTACCCTCCTTCACCTGCTCCATGCTTGTGGGGCCTTCCAAGGCATCGCATGTTTCGTGCTTCTCGCGATTATTCGCATGTGTTTCCGCGGCGCGGGCTCGCGGCCAGCCGCGCTTCGCGGCGATTGTCTGCGGGCCCCCTTTCCTCGCCGCGCAAGGCGGAGTTGACCGCGTAGCCCGATTGAAGCACCGCCCGCTGCTGCTGGTCCCGGGGTTGAAGGGGTAAGCGGTCCGCGCGGGGCCAGCCGGGAGAAGACGAAATGTCGGCATCTGGAAAAGACAGGGGCCACGGCGGTGGAGGTTTCGTGGACGTCATCGCTGTTTCTGGGACGTGCGACGAATTTTGGAAGTTGCGAGAGGACAGCGTCGGGCGTTTCTGGGCCGCGCGCGGCCCCGGCCCGAAACGGAACCCCGCGGCATGCATCGGGCGTGGAGGTTCGCGAGACTGCGGGGCGTCGCGTTCGATGGGGCCCGCGCTCGCCCGGGCGCCGCAGCGTCGGCGACTTGTGCCTGCTCTCGCGCTTGCCCATAATATCCCATAATGGGAGTGCGCTCGCAGACCGCGGTGAATGCGTCGCCTGTCTCGCGCGCCGCGGGGGAAGGCTGCGCGCCGCCGTCGCGGGGGCCCCGCAACGGCGCCCAGCGGTTGCGGGCTGGCCCCCGTTCGGGCAGGCATTCGGCGAGGTCGAGGACTCCGCCCCCCAAGGCCCTGCGGGATTCTGCGCGGCGCCTGCCGGCGCGCGGGATGCATCTCGCGCTGTGCCCCGCGAGGTCCGCGCGCCCACCTGGCGGACTGACGTGCGCCTCCGCATGTTCTTCTACGACGCCGGCCCCAGCGGCGCCCAGCCGCGGGTCGACGCTGGCCAATCTGTCGGCCAGTCCTTCTACGCGAGGAATATTTGCAGATAGTTTGCAAAATAGTGTGGGGCGATTTCTGGAATGTTTGATAATTGAGTAGTTCATTGATTTTTGTCGCTGAAATCCGCCTGCAGGGGGACATACCCGACCAAGTGCTGGCCCAATGCGATCTCGACAGGCCCTCGCGCCAATGGCTTCGCGACCGCAAACCAGACTTGTCTTGCGTAAGTCATCGCCGCCTCGATGGTTCGCCCGCTCGCGCGCCCCATGCAAATTGCTAGTGTTTTCCGCGTGCGTGGGGGGCTTCGTCCTGGGCCGGCGCGCGCTCGACCTCGCCGTCTCAGTAGACGCGGGCGCGGCGCTCGGGGGCGCGACTGTCGGCCGGCAAGAAGTGGGCGCGTGCTTCTCTTAGCTGGGGCACCCCTTCCTGAGCATGCCGCGCTATTTGGCTTGTTTTGTGTTAGAACTGGTGGATGTCCAACAACCGAGTTAGTTGTCATGCCGCGCGCGAGAGCTGCCATCGGCATCCACTTTCGTGGCTCAGCATCTGTCCTTAATGCGCTTGGGCGGGGGGGTCGTCGGTGATCTCTGCTCGTGAACTGCGGCGGCGGTTGCGCGCGACTCCCCGAGCGCGGCTTTCCACTCGTGGCGTGGGCACGCCGCGGGCAGATCTCGCTGGCTCTGCGGACGGCCCTTACATGGTGTTCAGGAGCGTGTGTCGAGAATCAAACCGGCATGGTCCGCGAGCTTCACGCGGTGCTTTAGGCTTTTTTTGATGTCGGCGCATGTACGCAACGCTGTGATCATTAGCTATGAGGATTGCGATTTGGCGGAGGTTCAGAAGAGGTTCCAAACGGAGGGGGGCACCGTCACCTCGATCCAGGAATGCTTGGGCATTGCGGTCGCTTTGGGTGGATATTGACGTCGCGCGATGCTGCAGGGTGTTTTCGTTTGACCCTTTGGTTTTGAATGTGAGGGAGCCGCCGCTCAACCTGCCCTACGCTGCGCTGCGCATTTTACCGCCCCTTGAGTTGATGTGTCGCCAAGCAGCGTGCATGGCTGTTTGCAGCAATCGCATGTATCGCGGGTTAGTGGGCGTGTGCGATGAGAGAGTTGGGCCCGGCATGTGCTAAATCGCCCGCGTTTGGGAATTCACTTCCAACATTTACGCGATCGCTTACGCGCGTGAGGTGTCCGTGCCCGCGCCATGTGCGGCAGCCAGGTGTAATGCCCCCCTGTAGTTACGGGATCTCTTTCCATTAGTTCCATCGGGATGTGCTGGAGGACATGCGCGTGCACGCGCGCGCTGGATTACGTTTGGCTGCTGTTGCTTTTGATCTCTTGTTGTGCACGCAAGTGCTCATGAAGGGGAAGTGCCCTCAGTGGCAAGACGCAGCCTGCGGCCTGATGCGGGCCAGAGTTCGGGCAATGGCCCGCCTCTGCCCCGTTGCCAGAGGGCGGTACTACTATCCATGGGATGACCTTATCGTGGGGTCGTGGCGGCCATCCTCCCCGTGTTCCTTGTAATTATCCTGCTCCTCCTTTTGCTGTGCCTCTCCTTATTTCCTGTGCCACGATTGTCATCATATGTCCTCACATCCTTGCTCCTTCTGCTCGCGCTTACTGACGCAATCCGGGCGGTTCTGCTCTTGATCCCCAGATACTGACTGCGAGCTTTCGTTCATAGCGCGGTCACGGATATCCTCCTTCTCGGCGTCGCCCCTTGTGTCATCATCGTGTTTGATATTATCGTTCCTCCGTGTCATGCTCCTTCGCTGTCATTTGCTACCGCGTCCCCAAATCTGCCTCTTTGCGCGTGGTATCGCTTTATATCGGGTGAGACCTTCCCCCGCGTATTTCAACGATTGGTTCACCGATCCAAAGCTGCGCGGCTACACTTCAAGTCGTGTCACCAGGATTGTTTTGCATAGTTCATTTGCTCAGGCGATATGATTAGTCCCACGCAGTTTCCACGCAACAAACGAAACAGGCAGTTGGATCCATTTGAACCCCGCGCACATACAATGACACCGAATAGGGCACATGCTTCCCATGCGAGAGGATCACATTTGCCTGGGGATGCATGTTGGGGTTCCTGCTGTTGTTGATTCCCCGGCGTGTGCACAACAAGGTACATACGTAGTGCGATGCTGCACAAAGTGTGTGCATTGGTTTTTTTTTGGGGGGGGACCTTTTTGTACCGAGCGTCTTTCGTCACTCCCTATCCAAGTGGCGCCATGTAGCACCCATTCGCTCTGGATGGTGCTGGGCAGCATCAGATATCATCAGGTCGCCTCGCATCGCCTCGAGGATGGAGCGGATCGCTGGGTCCGCAATTTCAGAGGCATACTGTCCATATTCACATATGTATACATGTGCAAATCTGTACGTGTTGTGTATATGTTTACATTTTCGTAACCACATCGCTCACCGTCCTGCCCTTGTAACGCCCTTCCTGACCTCTCCCGCTCCCTTTTTCTCCCCTCGTCTAGGTCCCCCGCTCCCCTGTTCTTCCGCTTGATTCACACATCTGGCGCACGACAGGGGTATCGACGAAGCGGCGGATGCGCAGATGATCATCAATGTGGACAACTGCAGGATGCCAGCTATGGGATGTTTGGAGTAGGGCGAGGAGTATGATGGGGGATTTTGGGAGAAGAAGGAGAAGAAGAAGGAGCTCCTCCAAGGGCTCCAGCCTTTACGATCGGCGCTGTTGCTTGGAGGCGGCCAGTAGCAACAGGTTGAAGAGGAGCACAGAGTACAAGGCCGTAGTGGTCACACCTAGTTCCTCCAACAAGAATCGCGCCGCGAGTGGTATCCATACGTCGTAACCGTGTACAGCACCAGGAGTCCGGCGGTCACACACACAACCAGCACGCCACAACAGCAGCGTATGGCACTCGTTTTCAAACGGCGTCTTGAATACGTGTCCCTTGATTTTGTCAACATACACGCAACCACAAACACACACGCACACAAATACACACACGCGCACGCACGCACACAGAGACACACACACACACACAGACACACATACACAAACACACACACGCACGATTTTCCAGTGTCGCGAGGGACATCATCTGGACGTCAGCACTCGGAACAGAGGCTATGTCAGGATCCAGTGCGTGCAGTCCAGCACTGACGGTCTCGTGGAAAGGCTGGGGTCCCGACGAAACTCGCGGTACAGCAGCCGTCAATCGCTCCAGTCGCCTTGCCTCCAGCGAGGCCCGCCTGCGCACCTTCAGAATCCTCATCGGTGCGGGGGTCGCCCTGGCAGAGGGAACCTGCCCGATGCAAAGAGCGACGTGATCGGACCCGCGATGCAGATCCCCCCCTTCTCCACGTCGACAGTTATTCAGACATCCAGGTAAGAAGGCCGAGCGCATATAATGTAACTTCCCGCAGCTGGACAAGACATTCCCCCAGCGGCGACACGAACTCCACGAGTAGAGTCGCGATTGGCGGCAGCTCCGTGCGAGTCCACCGCGGGAGGCCCAAAGATTGGAGCACCAGACTCAGCTTTGTTAATGTCGCCGACGCGGTGTGCCTCGTTGTGACCGGCGGGGTGGCGGGCTCCGCATGCGCCGCCTGGCCCACAGGAGCATCACCCATGGCGACCTTCTCGAGCCGAGGGCCCGCTGCGGCCTGTACGACTGGTGCGTCGCTCGCCCGAGCAAAGCCGCCGAACGGCGTAATGTGCCGCGCACCATGCCGCGCTGCGGCGCCGCTGTGCCCTCCCAGGCCTGCGGCACCCCGCGGCTCGTTTCTGCCAAGCGGGCGGCACCGCCAGATTACGGTCGAGCCAGCTGCTGGGATTTGCCGCGCCGCTGCCGAGAATTCCCCTGAGCGCCTCTTCCCAGGAGGCATCCACCCAGGTGGTCTCCTGCCGCCGCCTGGACGAGCGGAGCACGTGCAGCATGGACTCTCTCTTGACTAGCACGCGCGAGGCCGGAAAGGACCAGCTGGTTTGAGACAGATTGAGACCAAGTTGAAACGGAACGGAGGAAGAGGCGGAGGTTGAGCACGAGGAGGAGCATGATGAGAAGAGGAGCAGGTGCGGGAGAGAGAGGGGGGGAAGAGGCAGAGAAGGGACGGGGCCGGGAGGGATGTGGGAGGGAAAGGGATAATGGAATAGAGGGGAGGAGAGAGAGAGAGAGGGGGAACAAAAAAAAGAGAGAGACAGACTCAGAGACAGAGAGAGACGCTTTTCTGCGAATCCCATGAGCACGCTGCAACGAGAGAGGTACTGCTGCCAGGCGGGCACCTCCGAAGAGATGCGAGTCAAGTCGCAGGCTGTGAGCACTCCCTGAGCCTGTGGACCGCCCTGGGCCTGAGCATCATGGAACGAACGCATGGGCGTGCGAGAGAGAGAGAGAGAGAAAGAAAGATACATATGGTGAAGGGAAGGGATGCTGACACTCAAGTGATGGGCCTGTCTTCCACCACCACCACCACCATCAGCTGGAGGGGGAGGGGGTCCTCCTCCTCCTCCTCCTCCACCTCCTCCTCCTCCTCCTCCTCTTCTTCCCCCCCCTTGATATCTGTTGAAGGATAAGGATGCTGACTCTCAAGTGTGGGGCCAGGCGGGCGCCTGGGCTGTGGGCCAGGCAGGCCGCGGGCCGGGCGGCGGCGGCGGCGGAGGGTGGCCATCCTCCCCTCCGGCTTCCTTCTCCCACGTGCGTTGCTTCGAGGGATGCATAGCTGGACTGACGAGAGAGAGAGAGAGAGAGATTTGTTTTCCAGGTAGGCCCTTGAGGCAGAACAGGCATCCCATGATAACACAGGCGGCACGGGCGGATGGCAGGCTTGCGTGTCGTAGCAGGGCACGTTTCTGGCGAGCTTGTCGGAGTGGGGGGAGGGGGGAGGGGCAGGAGAGAGGAATCCCACGAAACCGTGAGGACGACGGTCCTCCCGCTTCACCGTCCATGGTGGTGCTCCCTCCCACGGAGACGAGGTCGGCGCCCACGTGTCGTGGCAACGATATACAGAGCTATCCTATTGCTGGTCGAAGCTGGAAACGAGGTCGGGAACATAGCGAATCAGAATACGGAGCTCCGCATCCTATAGCTTCTTGACGCGCGCGGTGGTCAGCAAATGGATGGTGGGGGGAGGGGGGGGATGAGGGGGACGTCGGTGTATGTGAATCGGGGGGAAGGGCTCGAGGAGACAAACACCCACGTGCCAAACTCAGCGTTCGCCATACAACCAAAAACAACAACTCACCAGTGACCGATATGCTCTTCTTCGCTCCCGCTGGAGGCGGAGTGGCGAGAGTTGGGAAACAAGGGCGGTATCCCTTGACAAAAGGCCATGGCAGGGCTCATTTCGATTCCTCCGATCCGATTCGGTTCGACCTCGATGGCTTCCGATTCCGAATCGGTTCGGCTTCATATTCTGACTTGGATCCCGATTCCTCAATGCGGCCTTACTACTCTGCCGATTCGACTTCTCCCGGCTTGGCCGCCGCTTTCTGCCGATCCGATTAATTTCGATCGCGTGTTCGACTTACCGATTCGATTCTGGGCTCTCCTGCCAGGAGCATGGGAACGGAGGTCCCCATGCGGCCTGTGACGGGGTGCTGCATTACAGCCTGTTCTCGATTATATCTGCCAGAGTGAAAAAGGGGTTGGATGGAATCGATCACGCACGTTTCGGAGATACCATACCCAATGTTTGCCAATGTCAAGGTCACGTAGGCCTTGAGCGCGCGGGTCGCACGCCAGTTGTCCTGTTCACGTGCAGCATTACCCATATCACATACACCAGAAAGAAGCCTGCAACACATGAACCAATCACCACCGTCCTGATCGTTGCCGCTCGTAGCTCAGGTTCGTCCTCCCACTAACTATTACATTCCTTAACAGCGTCGGCAACATGCTTCGTATTTTCTCAGAGGGCCGATCTGGTGATGATGCTGAGCACTATGGCGGCACGCTTTTCTTATGAGGCTGGGATCGGCCTTCGTGTGAATTGGGCCCCGATACACTTGTTGACCTGACCTGCCACAGCCTTGTGTTTGAGCGCCCCCTCCAGGGTTGAAGCAGCCTGGCTCCACGAGGGCTACTTCTGGGAGGTGTTTCTTGGCTGAGACCGACTGGAGCCCTCCCCATCTCGGCCCTAATTCAGAAAGTCACCATAATCTAATGGAGAGGCCCCCACCAGTGCATGAACACGTTCTCTGCGATTCCGTCTTGGGCTTCGTGTCTGCCTTGGCCTCGGCCAGCTTCGTGAGTTTGTCGCCCGACGCTGTCTTCATCGCTGCCGCCACGTGCTCCCCCTGGTTTTTGTCCTCCTGGCACGCGCTGTGCTAGCTTAGGGGTCCAGCTTCGCCAGGGACTGCCTGAGCTTCTCCAGGTCACGCGGCCGGCGGGAAGGTGAGCGCGAACTGCCGCTGTCCTTGCGGCTGCGGTCACTACCGCACGGGCCAAGAGCATCACGGCCGCGCCTCTCGCGGTCCCGATCTCTGTCACGGTCCCGATCCCGATCCCGATCATTGTTGCTTTGGTGGCGGCCCCAGTCGCGACGGTCGTAGCCTCCGGCACGGTCGCCTTCATGGCGCGTCCACGGGCCTTGTTCTCAGGGTACCAGCCACCAGCACGGCGGCCGTCTCTGTCCTGATCGTTATTGTCCTGAGGCCGGCGCTTGGAGGGGTTGGATGCGGGGTTAGGTGCGGGGTAGAGCTTCACCGCATAGGCCAAAGTCAAATATTCGAAGACACATTTCCAGCAATACGCTCTGCTCACCCTCAGGCTATCATCAAGCTATCGTCGTTGTCGAATGTAGGTCGACGACGGGAAGGCTGATGTCTTAAACCACTTCTGGCCGCTTCTGGGCCGGTATCTCGCACCACGCCAGCAGAATAGAAAGGGCACCGCCTCAGAGGACTCCCCCGGTGGGTAGTGCGCATAACTCATCGACTATTCCGCCAAAGTCACGAGAGAAAGCCAGCAGTAAGCTAGCATCGCCCTCGCAATGTCATCCACTGTAATCTTGAAGCAGTCGGGTGGCGTGCCAGTCGCGAAGGTCCACGCCTTGACCTCCCGACCTCGCTTGACCAGCGCTGCGTCGATACCCAACTGACGTACAATGGCCGCCGACACTTCCTGCCACGCAGTGCCGATGAGCTGCTCGTAGGCTTGGTCTGCGCGGGCGACAACAATTAACATATTGGATAGTTGGCAGCCGCAACTGAGGGAAGAGTCAGTCGAAGGAGGCTCCAACTCCTTCAAATCACTTTCACCTCGTGAGCTGCAGAATTCATGCTGAACACTTCTGCTGAGATGCCGCTGACTTGTAGCAGGTGACGGGTGGCACTTCCTACACATCGGTACCCGTCGATGCTTGGTGCGCCCGCTGAGTTGACAAATGTGCGCACGCAACTGTTTCCAGTTTTGGTACAGCAGCGGGTAACATCTCCTGGGAATCATTTACTCTTGACCGTGATGGCAGTTCATGGGGGGTTCGTGGATTTGGAGGGTTGGGGCATCATGCTCCTTGTTCGGAACAACGGAGGTAGACCTTGATGAGCCCGAGTCAAGAGCTATAGGTAAGCATCGTACGTAAACATGTCATGTCTAACCGTCCAATCATCATCTAGTTCCGCCGTATGGTGCGATTATCGTATCATGCCTGCTCGGTCCGCTATCCAATCCATGCCCCCTTGTTAATCCTTTGCAGTCATGGTATTGCCGTCCTACGCCTAGGACACAGCAGCCGATATCGTGGATTCCAGATGCTGTCATTGCCTGGGCTGGGGTCCTCTCTGGCCCTTCGGGGGGCACTGGTCGCTGGAGAAACGTTTGACCATGTGGTCGAAACCCTTCCCGATGTTGATGATGAGGAGGAGGAGGAGGAGGAGAAGCTCGCTGGCCTGGTGGTCAACTGGAATAGTGCCTTTCGTGTCGACCTTACTCAGACCTTTGGGGGGGGCGACTCCGGTGGGCGCCAACATCCAGGGAGGCTTCGTCGATGCAACGGGCCAGTCATGAAGTTGAACTCTGCACTTGACGCGAGCGGGCATTCCGACTTACATTACGCACAGAACGTGTTCGCTGAAACTCTGACTCTCCAGACTCGCCGCCCCTGATAGGCAACTCTGGTCGGCCGCTGGTACCAACTCCTCGCAGGCTTAAGCTTCATACTGCGGGTCGTACACATGGGCGCCCTTCGTACGGCCTGCTGGTGCGATGTTGAGCGAAGGTCACACGGTAGGCGAGGGACAGTTGATTTCGCATCCGGCAGGGTCAAAACTCCCAGATGACGATTGATATGAAACATTGCCATGCGGAGGCGGGGCACCTTTTGGAGGACGAGGGGGCGTCTGAATTAGCTGGCTCCGTGTTCCACTCTGCTGGTGTACGTGCAACGCGGTAGAGGTTTTCGCTGGCCCGTGAGGCACTCTATGAGAATGTGAGAAATCTTAAGCGGTGGGGCGCCAAGCTCCACAGCGGGCCTTCCTACCGTGTCAAGTGGAAGTGTTCTCCGATCTGCAGTGCATGCAGTTCCTCGAGCGGGACCGACACCGACAGCGCACCAGGGAGACGGCCCAGGGGCCCCCGAGCTTCACGTACCTTCACTTCGGATGTTGCTGGTGCAGCCGTCAACCGTGCTGGAGGAGCTCGGCGCCGTGGGGATCATCGCCACGATGTGGGGCGCCGTCTCGTCTTCCTTCGCCTCGGAGGGGCGTCTCGGGTTCCTAGTCGGCACCGTCGGCTTGCACGTTCGGATTCTAGTTCATCAGCTCCGCTCGCACGTGTTCGGAATCGCCTGGTGAGCGTTCTCTTGTTCGGCGTTTCGGCATTGGGCGGAAGGGTGGTGGGAGGGGGGGGGGTCTCGCTCCAGACCTCTGCTGAATGCCACTGTTTGGAATCGTGCGTCCTCTGGGGGAGACACCACCTCCTCGAAACGGGCGCCCAAAACAGCCAAGAGCTACTCCATGGAGGGGGGAGGGGGGGGGAGACGGGCCGCGTCGATCGGCAAAATGATAAGAAGAGATCGATCACCTGATCGCCTGGGTTTCGAAGTGGAAGCTGGCCGACTCCGTGGGCAGTCACAAGAACGGGATATAGAAAAGGGGCCCTGCACTTCGTCGGAGCTCACGATTCCGTGGTCGGTTCCGTGGGCGAATCCCAGGAAGCATGATCCTTCGAATACGTTCCTGGACCCGTCCGGGTACTCTTGAAATCTTTCCCGTTCAAATGTGCGTTGTTTTCACCAATACGCCGACGAGTGCGAGCACAGAACGTAGTCGACCGCGCTGTGCGGGATCGTCGGCATGCCTGGCATACCTTGGATGGCGGTCAGCAAGATGGGGTGTCCGAACTAGAGGGTGCGACAAACCTGCCGAGCCCATCTCGCTGGAGATGGTGACCGAACTCTGCTTTCAGTTGTGTGAGCCCTGATCGCAACAATTCCACTCCGAGGGTGGCCCAGAAGGGTGGTCCCCTGAATGCTCTTGACTGGGTGGGTTGAGCACCGATGAACTCTGAGAGGAAGGCGAAGGTTGTCGAAACGCACGCTCGAACATGACGATGGAATCTGTGGGCCCACAACATTGATCGGATCTCCGCTTCGACTTCGCCCTGGTTGAATCCAGAATTCTTTCGAAGGGCATGCTGCAACAATGCTGGGGCTATTCTCAAAGCCCGAGGTTGCTTCTGGGGGTAGGGGGTCAGGATTCGTGTGACCTCCAACTCCTCCTCCTCGGGCGAATCGAGAACCAGTGCCTCGTCATCATCACGTCGCTGCTGCTCCAGGTACTGCTCTCAGGCTCCGAACTCGACGTCTCGTCTTCTCCTCTCCCCGAGAGCTGTCTCAGGCTGTCCGCCGTGAGCCATGTCCTCGCCTGATCCTCGCGAGCCTGTGGATCGATGTGGAAACGCCGCCACGCCATCCTCATGTCCGACCCCACAGGCGGGGACCACAGACCTGGCGGCACTGGATGGATGCTCACGAGACACTCCCGAGCCATCTCTCGGGCTTGCGGCCGAAACTCTGCATCAGATCGAACACGTTTTCGATGACCGTCGCAAACGAGGGTGTCATGGCTGATACGCGTGAGGTGGGACAGGTCGAGCACGCAGCGGAAGAGGAATGGCACACACGGGCAGGGCTGAACGAATCGCGCACCCGAAGGTCTGGGGCATGAACCTCACCATTCCGTAGCCTGAGTAGTCAAATTGGCACGTCGTAAGATGGCTGCGAGACCGTTTCTGCGAGTTCCGCGAGCACGCTGCAACGATAGAGGCATCGCGGCCAGACGGGCGCCTCCGAAGAGGTGTGAGTCAAGTCGCAGGCTGTGAATACGCCCTGGGCTTGTGGCTCGCCCTGAGCCAGAGCATCATGGAACGAAAGCCTGGCCGTGCGGCAGAGAGAACCATGGTGAAGGGTAAGGATGCTGACTCTCAAGTGATGGGCCTGTTTTCACCACCACCACCACCACAAGCTCGAGGGGGAGGGTCTCTTCCTCCACCTCCTCCTCCTCCTCCTCCTCCTCCTCCTCCTCCTCCTCCTCTTCGTCCTCCTCCTCCTCCTCCTCGTCCTCCTCCGTCCCCCCTCCAACTTACGCTGGTGGTGGTGGAAAACAGGCCCATCATCAAGGGTGGGAGGAGGCGAGAGAGAGGGGAGGAAAGCAGGGCGGGCACATGGGGGAGGGATTCCGCTCTGGCAAGGCCGCTTCGGAGCAGATGCCTGCCTCCCCCCTCCCTCTCCCCTTCTCTTCTCCCTCCTCCTTCTTCGCGCTCCTCCCCCTCGTCATCCAGGGAGATTTCGGAGGGCAAGACGCTGCCGGTCATGTTCGGCGCCCAGGCTTGCCCGCGGGGCAGAGGCAGATAGGGGAGGAGCAGGAGAAGGGGGCAGGGTGAGGAGGACAATGAGCAGGAGGAGGTGAAAGGGGTGGGGGTGTGGAGGAACGTGAGGAGAAGGCGGGGTGTGGAAGAAGGCGGCCAGATGGACTGGCGCCGCGTGGGGTCGGCCGCCGGATGGATTGGTGACATCTGGGATTGTGGGGCTGCCCGCAGCCAGCCTCGGTTTTCCGCCAGATTGCTGCGACGAGGAAGAGGATTGCCGCAATGATCGCGCGAGGCTGGCTGGAGGCTAGAGCGCGCGTCGCCCAACCTGCCTCCCCGGGCGATGCTCCCCCCCCCCTTCTGGCGAGACGCTACGCTCGCGTGCCTCCCGTCATGCTAGTTTCTTGTGCACCAAAGGCGGGGGGCGCGTGATTCAAGCATGACTCCCCTGCTCGGGCAAGTCGCGAGGAGAGCGCCCCCCAAATGGCAACACGCCGCGGCGGCGCCAGCGATAAGCGCCGACGCCCGCCCGACAGCAAGAGGGCGAGAGGAGGGCCGCGCAAGCGGCGCTGCTTCAGCGGGGGGGGGACTGCAGCGTCTCCGCTATAGCGGGTCGCTTGGGCCAAAGTGGCTACAGGCAGCAGAGAACGAGGATTAAGTCGGGCCTGTCCCTCTACATGGGGAATGTTCAAAAATAGTCAGAAAATAGTCTGGGGACGATGTTTTTACTTTTCTGGCCATTTTTGAGCATGTTTGAACTACTTTTTAAGTTTTCGTCGAGAATCCTTCTGTAGGGGGACACACCCGACCTAAAACGAGGAGGCGGGGGGGAGAGGCGCCTCACCTGGCGGGCGGTGCCGACACGGCTGCAAGCATGAACGGGAAGAGGGGGGATGAGCGGCAGAGGCAGGTGGAAAGGACTCCTCCTTCTCCTTCTCCCCCCTTCGCCCCATCCACTACAATATGTCTACGACGACGACGACGACGACGACGGCGACGACGGCGACTGCGACTGCGACGGCGGACGACGACGCACTGCGGATGCTCCATGGGGGGGCGGGCGAGTGTGCCGCGCATGCCCGCTGTACAGTCGGACCGAGGTATAAGATCGAGAGCGGTTCGGGGAGGTTGCCCTAATGTTCTTCGTGTTTGGTGTATGTTCGTGTGCGCCCTGAGGAGGGTACCCTTGGATGTTCTGTGCGTTTTGGCTGGTTGAGGGTCTCGTGTTCTTGAGGGATGCTCTTCTGTCCTAGGTTCGATTGTAATCGTCCACGACGACGACGACGCACTGCGGATGCCCCATGGGGGGGTGCTGCGTAGGCCCGCTGTCGTCGACGTCGACGTCGACGTCGTCGACGTCGACGACGCACTGCCGATGCCCCATGGGGTGGTGGTGTATCGTACGCCCGCTGTAGTTGACGATTGCGACGACGACGATGACCACGACGACGACGACGACGACGAGGTTCGACGACGACGACTTCGACGACGACGGCGACGACTGTGGCACGTCTGTAATCAGCCGGAGTGGAGGAAACTTCGCCTCGGATGTATACGACCCTTATGCCACCTTCTATACGAAAAGCCATCGTCTTGAGGCTGCCGCGCACGGGGGTACACGGTCCCCTCGGCGGCGCCCGCGATGACCCCCTGGCGCGCGTGGTTGACACGACTGTTTCGCGCCTCGCGGGGTGTGCTCATCGGGCCTGGGGCGGCATCATTTCATTATCACAAGCAGACGTTCGGCGGCGCATAGGCTGCTGCAGATGCACGGTCTTCCACGGCGCGGGCCCTGCAGCGCTCGCAGAGGCGCGGCGCCGCAAGGCGGAGGCGTGAGACGAGTGCGAGCTGAGACTGCCAGCAGCCCCGCTCCGCGCCAGACTCACAGAAACGCTCGGGAGGGCGATTTTCCCAAGCGACCTCGCCGGCCTCGTGCACCAGCGCCTGGCCAGGTGGGTGCCCGAGCTGGCCAGGTGGATTGCAGAGCGTGGCTTTGGGCACCGTGCAGTGCCATGCGCTCAGCCTGCCTCTGGCATGGCAGGGCATCCTCGGGAAGACTGGCTGAGGGCGTGGCCAAGTGGGCGCCGTCTGCAGAGGCTGGGGCTGGTCAGCCTCTGTCTGCTCCGGTGCCGTGCTCGCCGCTCGAGCGGGCGGCCCACGCGCCGACGACTTGGCGGTCGGCCTGGCCTTCGGCTCGGGACGGGCTGCGGCAGCGCGCGCCCTCGGCAGCGCGCGCCTGCGGACGGACTTCGCCTCCCGAGGGGGTCCGCTGCCCCCTGGGCGGCCCCTCGAGCACGCCAGAGGCTCGGGCAGCGCCGCGGTGGCCGAGGAGCCGCGGGGCCGCGGCGCGGGCGGCCGGCCCAGCCACGGCGGCGCCGGCAGCGCCGCTCGTGGCGCGGCGGGGCGCGGCGGGGCGCGGCGGGGCGCGGCTGCCGGAGCGGGCGCGCGCTGCCGCGGGCGCGCGGGCTCTCGGAGCCAGGGGCTTTTGCTTGGCATCGCTCGGTCGCGTGCGTTTTGCCTCGGCGAGGACCATCGAGGAGCCTCCTCGACCATCGCGCCAACAAAAGCACGCACGAAACCGAGAAACATGCTCGGGGAATGGGCGTCCGAGCGATGGCAAGTTTGGAGGAGCCCGCTCGCGGAGGGTGCGGGGAGTGAGCGGGGCGAGGAGGAGAGGGCAGAGCCGGCCGGCGGCGGGGAGGCATCCTGGCAGCCCTACGGGCACTGAGCGCTCTTTCCGACACCTCTGGAGCTTTTGCACATGGCTCATTTCTAATTCTTCGAAGGTTCTTTGATTTTTCTGGGGCCAAGATCCTTTCCTTTCTAATCGTTCTGTCCTGGGCCTCTTCCTGGCCACTAGGGGGCCAGGAACAATTAGAAACGAGCAGAAGTAGAAATGAGCACGATTAGAAATGAACGACGTGTACGAGCTCTCTGGACAGGCCGCGGGTGTCTGGACTCGCCGGCTCTCAGAGCTGCCCGAATCGTCATCACGTGCCCAGTTGGCCATGGCCTAGACTCAAGCCGATGCGGAGAGCGAGCCACTTCACAGTCCGATGGCCATTGCATCGCGTGTGCCTACTTCTTGTCTTTGTCACCCCTGCGGGCTGGGCAAAGTCGCCGGTGCTCACAGAAGCTCCCGCGTTCCTGGCTCGAGCTTAATCGGCGACCCACAGAGAAGGACATCCAGGGATCGCGAGCAAGATGTGTAAGATAGGATAGGGGCTCCAAGGGGGATGGAGCGCTCAATAATTCTAGAATTGCTGATATAGATGTACCTCTGCGTTTCGAGAGAGAAAGGTAGATCACGAGAACGAGGGAACAGAGAGAGAGAGAACTATAGGAACATATACATATACATATTTATATATGTATATACTATGTGTAGAGAGACAGAAAGAGAGAGAGAGAGAGAGAGAGAGAAATAAAGAAAGAGAAAGAGAGAGAGAGAGAGAGAACGAGACAAAGAGAGAGTGATAGAACGTCGCCACCCCTCCGCGGCCCTGAGACTGGCGCGCTGGACGGTATCGTGGGGGAGCAGAGATCTCGCACCGAGGAGGCATTGCTGAAGATCTTCACCAGGGCTGGCCTCCACGACAGCAACAAGACCTCGACCGAGGACCGAGCCGTGGGTGGTCGAGCTCGTCGAATTGTTGGCCGTGGGCCGGGCCTCTTCCGCCCGGCCGGCTGGCTTCCTGCACAAACCGTCGACCAGGTGCCGATCAATCGACCACGCGTAAGATCAGGCGATCGCAAACATGGATCAAGGGGGCGTGGATTAGCGACGGGTCCCGCTTCCATAGGGAATCTGCGATTTCCGCCGCCGAACGAAGCGGCACCAGCCGCATTTTGGGGAGGGCACCTCGCCCGATCCATGGATTTGGCGACCGCGCGCTAAATCCATGGATCGCTAATCCATGTTCGCGCGCCCCCGATAAGAGCGTCCTGTCCCTTCGCCGGAGTGGTCTTCTGTTGCGGGCCCGCTGGGGTTCCCCGAGCGCTGAGTGCGGAGCGGCAGCAGCGGCGTGCGTGCCCGGCTTGGCCTCTGCGCACCCCCCCTGAAGAGACGTGCACCAGAGGTCGCTCTTGCCAAGGGTCACTCTCACGATTGGCCCGATCACGGATTTTTCCCCATTGCAGTGAAGAAGCAGCCTGTCTTCTTCTTCTTCTTCTTATTATTATTATTCTGATAATTTTTATTATTCTTCTGCTTATTATTATTATTATTATTATTATTATTCTTGTTATTATTATTATTATTAATTTCATCGCTTCGCTCATTCCGCCGGCCCTCGAGCGCTCTATGGGGCCTCTTTGAAGCCTCTTGGGGGCCTCTTTGGGAGCTCCTAGGGGCTTGTTGGGGGCCTCTTGGGGGTTTCTTGGGGCTCCTTGGCGGCGTCTTGGGGCCCCCTTGGGCCTCTTGGGGGGTTCTTGGGGGCCTCTTGGGGCGGGGTAGTCGAGTGCACCCCCCTCGGAGGCCACGATCCTCGTGAGGGGTGTCGAAAAAGGCCCTCAAAACCATCTCTGAGTAGACCTGCTCGGGCTGCGGTCAGGATGCTTTTCGCCGGGGGACCCCCAGGGGTCGCCCCGCGCGCGCGAACTAGAAATATGGTGAACCAGTTACTGGAGATCTCAGCACGCCTCTGGCCCGTTGGGCCGGCGAATTATTATTCGTCTTCTTTTTCTTCGTCTTCTCGTTTGGCCCGATCGCGGATTTTGGTATCACGCACCCGCTCGGTGTTGAGACGATTTCTCGCTGCTCTAGAGCAGCATGAACGGGAAGAGGAAGGCTGGCTGGCAGGAGGAGCAGCAGGACGATAAATGCGGGCATCAGGAGGAGCCGAGAGAGAGGCGGAGGAGCGCCCCCCACGGATACGGCAGCGCAGGCCGTCAGAAAATAATCCTGATCTAGTCTGCTCCTCCTGCGATAAGCCGGGACGCCATCCTGGGTCTGTTTGTCGGACGTAGGTCGTTCGTTCCAGCCCTAATGTTGTATTAGACGGCAGGCCTGATGGTCTGATCGAGGGGTCGGCCGGGTTGGCTGGGCGGGGATTCAGATCGAAGCCTGCCGCCGAGACGCCAGTTTCTTGCAGGCTCTGGGGTGGATTAGCTTCACCCCAGGACTCGTCAACTTTATCCCGCGCCTTTTTCGTCACGTCTCATTCACCTCCTGGGTTCTCCTCCTCCACCCCCGCCCGCCTCCATCCTCCATCCCTCGCACCCTTCCTGCCTGCCATCGTTGGTCCCTCCGTCGTCCTCCACGGTCCATCTGTCGGCGTCCTGCCTAAGTCTGACAGGCCGAAGTGCCTCTCGCGCGGTCGCTCTCCTTTTCCTTCCTCCCACCTCGTCCCCCTGTCCTACTTGTCCTCCGGTTGCTCCTCTCCATGTTTCCCCATCTCCCGGAGTATTGCTAGTGCTCCTCCTTCTTCTTCCATCCTCTTCCCCTTCCTCCTCTCCGTCCTTCTTCCTCATCCTTCCCCTTCGTGCTCATCATCGTCATCATCATCATCAGCACCAGCAGCACCAGCAGCACAAGCAGCATCAGCATCAGCATCAGCATCAGTACCACCATCATCATCAGCATCAACATCATCATCGTCATCATCTTCATCATCATCATCAACCTGCATCACCACTACCACCATCACCATCACCATCACCATCACCATCACCATCACCATCACCATCACAATCACCATCCTGCTTGCTTGCCATCACCCTTATGTCTTCATGTGTTCCCACGTCTGAACACATCAGGGAGCCTCATGGGCCGAAGTTGCAGCTCCAGGAGACAGAACACCAAGACGAGGCTACAGAACACGATCAGACGTCCAAGAACTTTTAGCACTGCCGACCATCAGCACTTACAACTGCATTGCGGCCGGCGCACATGTCTACATAACACGCAGGCCAGGAACGACGAAACCCGCGGTCAGCAGCAAGCGAGGTTGACTACAGCGCGATGTCCTTGGATGTACATCAGCACATGCGTCGCCTGCCGTGCATCAATCGCCAGGACGGAACGCGTCAGCCTGGAAGGGATGCCAGCATGCAGCGTCAGATCCCCGTACACACATCGTGGGAAACGACTGGCAAGGAATCAGCCCTCAATACATGATGCATTAGATTCATCGTCTGCCTCCGTCTCCTCGTCCTCCCCTTCTTCCTCTCCTCCTCCTCCTCCTCCTCCTCCTCCTCTTCCTTTTCCTCCTCCGATACCTCCCCCCGTCCTTCTCCCAATCTTGCAAATCTGATGGTGAGGAGTCGGGGTCGGGGTCGGAGAAATAGGATAAGGGAAAAGAGGATACGGAGACGTCAGAGTGGGAGTCTCAGTCGGAGTAGGAGGAGGAGGAAGAGGATGCGCAGAGCAGCACAGTTGTGACTTGCGTTATGCGCGCAGTGCGTGCGAAGCCGGGCACGTTGCGGGCACCCCTTGGGGTGCTGGGGGCAGATGTTTGCTGCTGCCGCTGCGCTCGCTGCTGCCGCTGCTGTTGCTTCTCCGTCTGCTTCTCCCACTTCCAATTTACGTTCTGCGCTCGGTGCGATGTCTTTACGAGCGAGAGGCGATGCAAGATGGTTGAGGCTTGTGGCACGGCTCCCGCCAAAACCATGGCGGTGTATCGTCTCTCGCTCCTGCGCCGATGCAGACACACTTACATCGTGCTAAGCGCTCCCTTGGGGAGGCGTGTCGTTTCTCTTGCTGTGGGAATGTGACGCCTTCTGGGAGAGTGCTCTCTGACTGTGGAGGCGGGCGTGAGTAGCACATCCCTTAGTGCGCCCGCCCGACCTCCTCCTTTCACTGATGGCTGACTGAGGCAAGGTGGTGCCATATTGGCTCTCTCGTCGGGTAGATCCCTCTTGTTTTGACGACGCTGTGGGGCGTACAGCACCGACCGCCTCAGTGGCCTTCTCGAGAAGCAGTGCCGAGGCCGAGCTATGTCGTCTGCCTCTCGCTGCCGTCTCGGTCGTATGCGCAAAGGGTTGCATCCTCGGCCCAATCGAGCTCCAGGCGGCGCTGTGCTCCACGTCTCAAGTGAGATGGATCGGGAGAGGACGCTGATCTCTCAGCGTTCCCACCAGCAGCTCGCGGTCCATCTGCGGGCGCCCAGGAGGGGCAGCCTAATTCCAGGACTTGAGGCCATTTGGCTTCGGGTGGCCGCCCGTGAGAAGGAGGCCCATGGTTTTGGAGCCGGATTCCTTTTTTGTATCCCCTGGGGAAGAGCCCCTCTTCTTTTTGGCGGGCGTTCAGTGGGGATGGGCAGAGGGGTGTCTCATGGAGTTCTCTGGCGTTCCAGGGGTCCGCCGTGAATTCCCACGGTGCTCCAGGTGTCCAGCTGTGGCGTCTCGCAAGGTGCATTCTAGTATGCGAGGGTTAGAGAAGCAGTCAATGCTAAACTCGTAGCTTTTGAGTGGGCATTTGGAGACGGCAACGGGTAAGAGCACACAGTGTGGAAGCCACTGCGAAACATTTGGGCTATGCATGCCACCCGCCCTCCTTCATCATAAGCCAGAGGCCCTCTATCGTGGATTTCACCAGGACCACACTCATTATGTTTGGTCCTGTGCAATCGAGCGGGAGGACAAGGATGTCCTTGCAATGATCTGCCCGGTGCCCATCGAACTCCTACGTGCGCTCGACACAGACACGCCTGGCAACAGCTTTTCTTTGCAGTTTCTCCGCGGAGAGGGTGACCAGGCGGAGGCAGGAGGTGAGGCGTGTGGTCGGCTGGCGGAGTAGCCCAGCGTACAGCAAGCGGAAACCTCATTGCGACCGCCCGGAGGCGCTCATCGAGTGCGTCGCTGGAGGAACCTTGTGATTTTCAGTGCCTTCCTCAGATCGTCCAGTTTTCGTGCGCGTGTGCACATCCTAAACAGCACTGTCTTCTTTAAGTGTAGTGCGGGATTTCCATTGCATTGATCACAAGCGGTTGGAGCAGAAGTGCGATCAGAATGATGCGTGTGATGAGCTGTAGGGGCAGAGGCAGGAGGAGGAACTGTTGAGCAAGAGGAAGGATGAGGAGGAAGACGGAGTAGCAGGACGGAGGATGAGAAGGAGGAGGAGGAGGAGACGGCAAATGGGAGGCGAGAGATTAGTAGGGAGGGTGAAGACGAGGAGGCGTGATGATGATGATGACGAGGGTGATGATGATACTGATGATGCTGATTGTGATGGTGATGCTGAGTAGTATTATGTTGATGGCGATGGTGATGGTGATGATGTTGATGACGGTGATGAACATGATGTGGATGATGTTGCTTATGATGATGCCGATGATGAGGATGATGGGAGTGATGATGACGATGGTGGTGGTGCTGATGATGGAGATGCTGATGGAGATGATGATGAATATTACGATGATGATGGTGGTGATGAAAATAGTGGTGATGCTCATGACGATGATGCTGATGATGGTGATGATGATGATGCAGATGATGTTTATAACGACGATTATGATGGTGATTATGCTACTGCTGATGATCATCATGTTGATGATGATGATGACGATGACGATGACGATGATGCTGCTGATGATAATGCTGATTATGATGATGATCATGATCCAGCATGGCCCTCGGTCAGGACAATGTCGTTCTCCGAGCGACAGGCCCGCCTGTCTTCCAGGCAGGGCCGGCAGGGGAGCGGCATGGATATGGAGATCAGCACTTCAGCGTCGTTGTGTAGTCCCGACTTGACCCGCGTGTCCCCAGGGAGGTAGGCACACCTGTGTATGAAGTGTCTCCTGTTCTGGTTCTTGGGGTTGTTTCTCCCGGGACAGGAGAAGCCGGTTCTGAGGATGTTGCCCAGGTTCTCCCAGAGCGTGCCATGTATGAAATACTTTGGGTTGCCTGCCTGGCCTATCGAGCGTACTCGTGCAAATAACGACTCAGGGCTCAACATGCCCGATCTCGAATGCCCGCTCGTGGCTCGTAGATACAAGACGTGTCTGTCCGAGTGCCGCCTGAAGTACTTGAGCTGTAGTCGGACCTTTTGCGCTCCCGAGCGCGTGTTACGCATCTCCGATATCGTTTGGGTCAGCCAGTTTACGTACGACATACGTTTGTTGCACATCCAAGCCTCCACTACCTCACGGTGCTTGCCGCAAGTGATTTGCTCCAGCTAACCAGCAATTGAGATCCAGCCATCCTGCTGATCCCATGTCGCGCATGTGCTGGAGAACCGAGGGTCGATGGAGTCAACGCGGTATGGCCGATGCCAGACATAGTCGACCATTATTCCGAGAGCCTTGTCATCGTGTATTGGTCCGGCTTTGGTTTGGTCGAGGTGCCAGCGTCGTGCATGTCTTCGACTAAGCTGTCGAGCTCGTCACAGAGTCGCAGCGCTCGTCGCCCACGAAGGTAAATGCGAACCTGTTGCTGATGTGAATCTGCAGCTGACCGGCAACGAGCATTACACAATTGATCGCAAGTCAGCTGTAGGTATTGGTCCTCACCGCCCTCCTGGAGGAGGCGGAGTGGGCGTGGCCGCCCTGACAGGTGGTGCTGGCTTGGCCTTGGCCGGTACTTCTGGGCCAGTGGCCTGGCCAGCGGCTTTGGAGCTTGCACCCCTGTGGCTGTTCAAGTCGCGCGTGTCCGCGCCCGAGAAAGGTGTGACGTTGGGGTCGTTGACAGGTTGCTCCGAGCGTATGAGCGCCTGGTACTCTTGGTCAGTAGTGCGTCGATCCTTGGCGGGTTTCCGCTTAGTCTCGTACTTCGTCCTCTTCAGTGCGTCCATCACAGAAAGGTATGACACGCATGAGGGACGGCTCCTTCAACGCCGCCTTCGGTACGCGAGAAAGGCTTTCCTGTTCCTCGTCAGATTCGTAGACGGCTTCAATGGACTTTCCCATCTCATGATCATAGCTCGCTCTAGCCGTGGGTGGTCGTGAACGAGGTCTGGAGGCGGAGACACTTGACAAAGGAAAATAAGTAAAAGAGTCCAAATTGGGATACTTGCCTTTGCTCTTGCTCTTGTACCTCTCGGCGCTAGCATCTTGCAACCGTGGGGCCCAACCGCTGCCGCGATGCATCTGTGCCGACTGTGATGCACCAGACCGAACATCAAACGCTTGTTGCTGCATGGGGAGCTGCCCTGGAATGCGGCAGCCTTGTCCGCGACCCCAGTCCTAGTGGATCTCCCGCGCGGGGGAGGTCTTTCCACGATAGGCTTGCCCTCTTAGAGGAGCAACTCTTCAGAGCGAGTGCACTTGACGCGTGGCCGAGACTTGTCAGGCGTCTCGGTACTTGGGACCCGCTTCTTGCTAGGATTGTCAGCTCCCTTGCACGGTGGCGAAAATGGTGAGTACGACTCCAACATGTCTACTTGCTGATCGGGGCTCAGCTCTTTCTTGAGCGGGTCATCCTTCTGGCCAGTGTCCTGGCTTTTTTCCTCGCGAATATCCTGGCCGTCAGCGGGGTCTTTGTTGGAGCTGCCCGCAACCTTGCCTAGTGTGTTGAGCCACCCCTCCGTCAGGATGACTGGCGAAGCCGAAGGCCCAGCTCGACCAGCATCGTCACCGTCATAGACAGCATGGAAGTCACGCTCAGACTTCTTCAGTCGATGGTATCCGGGGAGTTGTGGCGATTCGTAATTTCTCGACCGCCAACATCTGCTCGCCGGTGAGGGGTATGTTCTGATCCTGGCTATCCGCCTTGCCGCCAGAACGGTCCCCGTGGTCGGGGTGCCATGGCGTGGCAAGGTGGTTCGGACTCCGTAATGGGCGATCGAGGGGGCATCTTGGGCGGTGGTTTCTTGTACCTCGTGCAACCACACACGCTACATGGTCCACGTTCGGCAATGATCTCCCGCTTCCTGGCGCGTGCCTTGCCTTTTGGTCGGATCGGCGGTCGGAGGTCTTCTGGATATTGCCCGTGACGGGGTCCCAGATGTCATGTTCCAAAGGGCCGTGGCCATTTGGGCTCAATCCATTTGCGCATGTGAGTATGCCGCGCTGTTGCCATGGCTCGTGGTTCTAGCGTGCCATCGGATGCACTTCGTGACAACTCGAGGCTGACATCGCTGGCAAAGAGAAGTGGGCGCTCCAGAGGTTCGCCGTGCAGTGCTTCTCCGCTTGTGCCGCGTCGCCTCCGCCGCCCAAGGACCCCAGCAGTCCGATCGAGGACTTGAAGGAGATGTGCTGCATGCTGTCCCGCGCGGCTGGTGTGATAATTCACCGCCCTGCCGCGCCAACCGCTCTCCGGCGTTCGGTCGGCGTTGGTGGTTTCGAGAAGAGGGTATCCACATTGACGTCTCGTCGAAACCACGCTGGTCATCCTGATGGAGGTTTTCTTCGTGGTCTTCCGGCTGCGATTGAAAACATTCCTCGTGCAGCTCAGTGCCAGCATGCTGCGACGCTTCGGTCCCGCGGCAATTCTAATTTCGTGGTGGACGCGAGCAGGCAGACAGACTTGTTGCAGACCGAGCTGATTTACCGACAAGGAGGTGCCCACCACCGACGCCCACGAAGCGGACATCAAGACGAGCGACTCCTGCTCCGACAAGTGCGCTGCGAATTCCGACGACGAGTGTGGCGAGCACCAGCTCATCGGCATGAAGGTTCCGGTCAAGGGTTCCAAGTGTTGCCAAGATAAGAGCATATCAGGTCGAGGGGTGACAGCCGAGATTGATACTCGCAAGGGCAAGCTGTTCTTCTTCGGCGTTTGCCTTTGACGCGTCGCTTTCGACGGCGATGACGGGGGTGAAGAGTGACTCGTGCTTGTCGGCTCTGGCATGGCCTGTTATCCCCGTGGAGTGCGAGGCAAAGTTCAGCGCGGCCGGGCGGCGGCCGGCGTTGCGGTTCATAGCTGCGCAGCCATCCAGACAACGTTGGGTAAATTATGTCCCGGCCTGCGCTGGCAGACGCTCCAGCTTTTCTGAGACTCATTCCCGACGGAGGGATGTGAGCTGAGCTCGCCGCCGGCGGGATTCCGGGGGTGCGCGGGCGTCTTGACTGCGGGCGCGCGCAGTGCAGTAGAGATTCGACCTGGGCGTTCCAGGAGTCGCCGCGCGATCGCTTCCCCGCCGCAACAGCGGCCGATGTGGCAAGACAGCCATGCTGACAAAGGTGGGTAAATTATGTTCCAGCCTGTGCCTGAGCGGGAAAAAGGGTAACATGTTCCAAAGGATACCAGTGCCGAATCGACGCTTCCGCTCAGCCCTGGCCCAGGCACGAGCGCATGTTTTCTTCGGGCACCTCAACGCGGAGACCGCGATCGTCGCGGGAGAAGGGGGGGCCCTTGCCCCGGCGCGTGGAATTTTACCTTTGCCGGTGGCCTGGCCCCTGCCTCGGCTGGAACTCCTGCCCGTGGCCGGGCCAGACCCGATGGGGCCTCTCGGCACCGCATTCCACCGGCAGTCGTAGAAGTCTGATCCCGCCCAATCGCAGCCAAATCTTCAGCAGAAAGACCGATGGTAGTGGGTGGCGGCTGGAGGGTGTCCACCCTGCTCGTATCCGAGCTGAAATTGTGCCAATCTTCTCGGTTGCAGGACTCGCTTCCGCCTCGGACATGTGGTCATATCGAGCTCGATATCATTGTCGCTATCGGCGCGCACGTTGCCGTGCGCGGGCAATCCCATCCAGTCCTCGCATGGCGTGTGTGTGTGTGTGTGTGTTATTATTATATATATACAAATGTAGATATAACAAAAAAGTGTCAAGCAAGTTCTTCAATAAGCCTTCGTATAAGCAGTCCGTGTATTTCTCGGCGGCCAGCGCACCATTGTAGAGTCTGGCCATCATAGAGTATCTGGTGCGATCTATGTGTGTGTGAAGTATAATTCTGAAAAAAGGTGACGTACTCTAGATGAC